AAAAAAAAAAAAAAAAAAAAAAAAAAAGAAAAGGAATTTGTGAGCTAAAACAATTATTTTTTGAAAAAGAAATGTTGAGATATCGCGTCAATCGTAGAAAGAAACGAAACATGATTTATAAATCTTTTATTAATAAACACATTTTAGAAATTTCAAGGGGAAGCACGAAAAATAAAAAAAAACAATATTTACTCACAACGGTGAATTTGAACGGTTACATAAATAATAATTAAATGGGTACTATTTATTTTTAAAAAAAATTAGGACCAAATTACACTCCAAAGACTTTTTTGTAATTCCTTTGTAGAAAATGGCAATAAGACAAAGATAACTTATCTTTTGAGTCAATAGACTTAGAACATTCAACATGCCAAAACCCTATTAGTCTTCCACCCCCATCTTCCACTTCAACGGTATTTTAAAATTCTAGAATGCAAAAATCATTTATTGGCAGAAGACTCAAACGACAACGAGAACGAGGTCAACAAGACATTGGCAATAATTATTGGACTCATTGCAGCGGTTGCCTTGCTCACCCTTTTCATCACTTACCTCAACAAAAAATGTGAAAATCGAAAAGGTAACGTTGAATTTTCATTTAATTACGAGAATTTCATGATTTGTGTGTTTTTTTTCTTACAAATTTTATTTTTTGGATAATGCAGGTGGTAAGTAATTAAGTAATACTATGTAGTTTAAGATTTTTGTTAATCTCAAAAAATAAATATGTTGTATTATTAATGGTGTATATATATAAGTTAGGTGTTCAACAATTGTTAAAAAAATGTGGATTTTTGAGGCTGAAAAAGCATATGCTAAATTATTTGTAAGCCTGAAGCTGTGTTTTTATTTTCCCAAGTTTATCAAACACAGAACATAGTGTTGCTTAATTAATAAAATAATAATAATAATAATAGAGGAAGGTGTGTTTTTGGTCAATTCATGACCAAAAAGTGGCTCTTCAAAAGGGGCATTGAAAAAGATACCTATTCTACTAACTAACCCAATTTTGGCCACAACTTAATGCCTATCCACCTCAATTTTTATCATCATTTTTTATTTTTATTTTTATTTTGTAATAACAAATGTAATTAACCATATCTTTTCTTTTGAATTAATAAAACTAGAAATTTATTAAACTCTCATTTTAATTGGTATTTTCTTTTTCTTTCAAAAATTTGAATATTTTTTAAAAAATCTAAAAAATACCCATCGTTAATTTTGTATAGAGACGGATAATGTTTTATTTTAAACTAATACCCTTAAAATTTTAAAACTAGCATTAACATCCACGTTCTTTATTCAAAAGAAATTAAAAAATAAATTACTACGGTCAATAAATGAACGAAAACGTCCTATCGATACCTCATAGATTATCTCTTAATGTTTGATTATTTTTGAAACGTGATTTTAAATAATAATATTTTTGAAGTTTTATAAAAAAAAACAATTAAGAATATTTGAATTAATTTAAGCGTTTTAAAATTAGGCATAAAAAAAGAAATGATGAGAATGATGAAAAGGTGGTAGGGAAGTAATTATGAGAGAAACATACAAATTATAATCTCATCTCTCTCACATCCATTATTCATATATCTTTAGGTTTTGCTTTTTCAACCTTACAAAAACTCTCCCAATCTTTTTAAACCATTTTCAAACTATTTATTTCCCATCATTTTCAAAATCAATAATCATTCCAAAGACTACGCAATTGAAAAGGTTAATTATTTAGAATAATTTCTTAATTATCATACCAAAAAAGGTTAATTACTTTGTTAAGTTTCCAAAAAAGATACCTTTTTTTAATATAATTATTGGGTTTAGATGATTAAGCCATTAAATAAGAGCTGGTTAGCATATAAGTGTGTAAAGGAAAGAATATTAAGTGTTAAGAAAGAGACAAAGAGGAAGGACAAAAGGGGAAATAATTCTACAATTTAATTATGTTGTGTTAATTAATTAAACACCGTTTTGTGGAATCTCATTTTTAACATCTTCCCCTCTCAAATTATATATTAATAATCTTTATTTATTTATTTATTTATTTATTTTTAGTAAAGAGAGGAGAGTAAATTATTTTTGTTCCATTTATACCTTTGGTATACTCGATCTAATTCAAAAATTTCACCCAATTGAGCACGTAAGTATTGGTTGTTGACACAATATCTATCATTTAAAGGTGTTAATAGATCTAAAAATATTATTACTTAGGTACAATACAGAATTAAGAATGAGAAATAGAATTAAGATCGAAGGTTCAATCTTCATTCATATTCGCAACGTTTAAATATGATACAAACTATCAACTAATACCTATCAATAAAAAAAAATATAAACTAACTAATTCTTGAGAATAAAATATACTACTAATCAAATAAAATAAAATATACTACTAATCAAATAAAGGGAAAAATATTAACCGATTACGAATATCTAAAATATATTTCATAACTAATATATGCTCCAAATATTAAATATGTTGGCTAATTCAAACTAGCAATAAGTATGATTACGAATATCTAAGATATATTTCATAATTAATATAATCTCTAAATATTAAATATCTTGACTAATTTAAACTAGCAATTTGTTGCACTAAATTCTAACCGCCTCCCTTAGTGCAAGCTTATTTCTCAATAACTCGAGAGCCTTACGAAAAACTTCAAACTTCACTTTGGCAAGTGCCTTAGATGTTTGGCAGGATTTCTAATACGCATGAGAATGTTTACCACCACTTTCCCTGATGTTGGGGATGGTGAGGGTTAGACTAAGATCTTTAGGAATTGCAAGACCAGTCTCTCTAGCCGTGTTCATATCAGAAGCCTTGAGAGAGACCATAGCTTTCTCGCCAACCAAGAAGAATGAATTATCAAGTTTCCATCGATCTTCACTAATTTTTCATTCCTTGGACCATATAAAGAAGCAACAAGAGGTTCGCTAGCATTTCCAAGCTTAATAGACTCGCCCAAATCATTTAAATGTTGCAACCCCTTTCCTCGTTGATTGAATTTCAAGTCTTGCTCTGTCACGACCCAGTATTTTACTACGTGTAAATGTTTGCTGAATCCACCACACCTAAATAGTGGTGAGAGTTCTCTTATTTATAATCATTTACGGAATACAAAAATATGGTAAATTACAAATAATATGAAAATCACAATAAAAGGAAAGAATGATAAATGAATACAATATATTTGCCTTTAATAAAAGAACAAATATGGTAAGCCGTAATGTAAGGCAAATATCTAGATATTTGCCCTATAATGAACGATCAACTATCCTTAACACCCCCCCCCCCCCCCCCCCCCC